TGTGGCTTCCAAGGTGACAATATCTGCTTATCACTACGACGATCGGGACAAGGTGTTGGATTTTTCCTCGTTTTCTCTTGATCTCGAAATCAGTACGATCCTGGAGAAAGACATTTCCCTCTTCGAAATAACAGAACAATTTTAGTAGACATCATTGTGGATGTTATCAATATCTCTTACATGTTTTCTGAGATAAAACAGAAAATAGACATGGGAGGGTTGGAAGTATGTAGATGTGACGGGAAAGAAGGAGGAGTGATAGCATAACCGTTCCGGCGGAAAGTTGGTCAAGGGACTAATTCCACTTGTCTCTTTGACGAGTTGTTGCTGGGTACTGAGAATGACAAGACACACTGACGAACTCGACTACGTTATGGTCGAAACATATGGGAATGTAACAAGTCCACGTCCTGGTCCTGGGAATTATCATAATTAGTATGACAGAGGAATTTGGACAAGGTGCATTCTACTAAATCTCACTAAAAACATGGCTAAGCTGCGAAAACCTCGTTACACCACCCCATGGTAGAGCATTGGGCTTAAATTTGAGCCATCTAAGATATGCTAGAACCATAAATCACTTAGGCTGATTAGCTGTTCAGTTATATATGAAGTGTGTTCGTCCTATTTCGTTTAAGTTGATAAGAGGACTGGTGCTTGAATTTTCCCACAATGAAATGCGTAGACCTTACATTTCCATTGAATTTCACATAGCCTTGATTTCCCAAAATGTATTCTCATCCAGAAGGGACTGCAGTTTCGACATCGTCTAGGTCTTATCAACACAGCCAGCGGTACTCAAACTATGACAGTGAAACGTAAAATCTTGACACGTTAACCACTACGCCACATTGCCACGAGTGCCCTTGGTTCATAGGGCAGATGTCACTGTCAAGGAAGGACAGGCATCCTCTTATATCACATTCTGTGGTTGTTTTGTCGATGAAGCAAAGTTGTATTTGCCATGACAATCGACTACATTACAGATTTTTCGTTTATAAGTAGGCTTTCGAGATTACCAGTATATCATATATATATAAGGTGTATCCACCATATTTCGTTTAACGTGATAAGGAGACTAGTAGTTTAATTTTCCCAAAATTTCATATATCCTCGCTCTCCCAAAAGGAATTCTCATCCAGGGTGGAAGGCTGCCAAGACAGCCTGATCACTAAGGACGTGGTTATGGCCGCACGATAATCACTTGTTCATAGGCTGATTGCAAAATCCTCATAAAAATTAGTTTGTTTGGGCTATTCTTTCTCTTCTGTCTGGTTTAGTAACAATCCCAGAAATTGGTCTTGCCTCACTTGAAAACAGGTTCAACATTCTGGTCTCATCTGGTAGATGAGCTTTCGTCTGAAAAGGGCTTCGGAGTTCAGGTTTCTCTTTGAGTTTGCACAATTCAATGCAAATAGTTTCAAACATTTTGAGAGCAAGTGGTTTATTTATTGTGTAAATATTACTTAACGACTAACAAAGTTTTGATTATTGTCACCTTATTTTGTTGATTTTTTTATACCAGGTTGCAGTATGCGAAATTCATGCTTGTAGTTCTCTACAAACATTAAAAAAACAGATTTTAGCAGGACTCTTCATAAACTTTACCTTATTTCAAAGCAGGATGGAAGGATGTAATAAAGACCTTACACAAAAGTGAGAGAATGTAAAGAATCCCGTGGCCTATAGTTCTGCAAATTCTACAAATCCGTGCTGAGCTCTAGCATTTTATATAAGGATAATTACACAATCTCAAAGATGTGGCTTGCCTGTCAGAATGAAATGAAAGGTATAGCAACGTAAGTCTCGTTTTCGGTAGTATCAGAAACTCTTGATGAAGAACTCAGTCAGCCTGGATCGTCCAAAGTGGCTTGAGGCCTCAGAGTACTACTGAATTTCACTTAACCTTGTCCCTATTTAGGATCTACTGCAATTCCGATGCCACCTGGGCCTCATGTACATCCTCATCAGGATTCGATACAGAGTCGTGAGTACCGTGGTGACGTTAACATTCCTCTTCTCGCATAACTCAAAGGGTCAGCCGGCATAAAGATCGATGTGTATGCTTTAGAATGCACTTATCCATGGTTCTATTTTAATCGCAGATGCTAAATACACCACAGTCCAGCCTTGTTAAAAGAGATATTTTGGGGTGAAATTTTATTGCTTGGAAGTCGAGCCTTCTCTTCAATACCAAAATCTTACAAATCTGGTAGACTCTGTCAGATTGATTCGTTTGCTATTGCTTTTCCCAATTCTGATAGGACTGTTAGTAGAATTTTTCCACAATTATATGAGTAGAACTGACGTTTCCTAATTATGTCCACATAGTCTTGATTTCCCAAAAGTTGTCCTCATTCAGGGTGGATTGCAGTTTCAACCTCGCATAAGTCTTATCAACACCCCCCGCGGGATTCAACGTGTTAGTCTTGAAAATCTACTTTCATACGAAAAATTTAGCAGTCTTCTTTCTTCTATCAAAGATGAAACTAATCGGCCCCGTTGAGGCACCGTACTTCTCGAAAGGTTGAATTCGTGGCTTCTCCTACATTACTTCGTTATGATGCCGCTACTGGCAGAATACTCTAAAATAAATTAGTTATTTAAAAACTAGTCTCGCCGCCATCGTCTGGTTGGCTTTCATCAAATCAAGGTCCAAAGTCACGATATATTGCACATATGCGCGTTATTTCCAGAGATGCATTTCATGAGGTGGGGCAACCCATCGGAAAAAGAGTCAAGTTTGTTCAGGACAAACAGGAACTATCATATGTCACTCCCTCCATCACAGACCGGCAGCACGTCTATCTCGGCACAAGTATACACAGATAAAGACCGACGAAAATCTTGGGTTTCATTAAGTTTATCTTCGTCAAACTTCAGCTTAACATTTTCTGCCTTGTAGGCAAAACTTTACCAGTAGATATATACCATAAGCTCAACTTTAAGTCTGTTTTGCGCCCAAAGGAGCGCTTACCGACATTCAATTGTGGTACAGACTTAATGGTATCGCTGACAGTCGGTTTGTTGCCTCAGACCTAAGATGTGTAGAGCGAAGGCTCAGCACTATCCTAGCTTTCAATAGCGTGGCCTCGGACAACCTTACTGGATTATAAAATGGTACATATTCTAACCATTCATTCTCCTTGAAGATACTTGATTTTATGAATCTGCTTTAGGCTTCAAGTTAAGCCAGTACATTCTCAACCGAAAACCGGACAAATTCAATCAACTGAAGAACTGAAGATTCGTTTGAATTGCGACAAATTGTTTTAGTATTAGCCAGGCAAGTCAGAGAGAAACTCTGTTCTAAGGCAACACACTGACCAACGCAGAGTGTAGGCTTTGCTCAAAAAATAAATCACATCTGTTGACAAACTTGCCTAAAATCCTCGGGGCTAGTTTCTCCTGGCCCTGCAAATTATTGTGTTCTCTGAGTCGAGTGAAAACTATTTTAAGATAAGATTAAAGCCTACCTCGGGTTAGAGTCAGAGTTTATGCGTTTAACCTCTATCTTGGCATACCATATAATTTTACAACACATCTACAACAACTTAGAACAGGACTGAATAAAAGTTTATTCTAACCATAGAGCAAAGATGACCCAGGCGCTGTGGCAAAAAATCTTGACTAGCCAAAAATTATCAAATATTCACCACTTTTACGAGTATTCCTTCACTGAGTTAAATGAAATACTCCTAAGGAAGGGTACCAAAATTGGGCTGATGCCACTGCCTTCGCATAAAACCGATTCAAGCTTCTTCTTTGCCTACATAAATATCCTTAACTAGAATAATAGGGATCACTTACAACTCATCTTCTCTACAAGACTTAGCTGGTGGTCCTTAAAGAATGCATAAATAATACACCCAACTTCGTTTCAAACAAACGTAAGTTCGACTACGCACAGACAGACTTAATGCCAAACGATGCTGTTCGTCGTGATAGTATAATAACTTAAGACCATATCTTCTAGGTCACCCGGTTGGAGAAGAAAACAATAAATCTTAAACGAAATGGGGTGAATACATTTAATATATATTAATGATCTACTAGTAGTTACGAAAAACCTACTTATAAATGAAAAATCACAGAATGTGATATCAGAAA